AATCTACTAAAACTAGCCAAAAAAAGCTAAAATCTACTAAAAAGGTAAACATCATAGTAATCAAAGTGGAAATAATAAATGTTGATTAGAGAAAAAGGTACCTATATTAACTGACTTTTACAAAAATTATCTGACACTACGTTGAGTACTTGTCTTTTTTATTTCAACCAAGTACTAAGTACTAACTACCTAAATCGATACTAATAAACATTTTATTCAATGCTTTAACAAAAATCTACTAAATGTGGCAACGTTGGATTAAAGTCAGAGTGACCCGACCAAGCTAAACAGAATTGTTTTTCATTACAATTGTAATAGATCTATTACATTTTGGTTTACATCATTACTACAATTAGGCTGTTCAGAGCACGTGACCCTGGCCCTTTAAAAATGGCGACATACAGATTTGTTCCAACCTTGGATTAAAGAAACCGAAGATGTAACATTGCACGTAGCGCATGTTGTTTATTCCAACCCTAAGTAACCCACCAATTAAAAATCATTGTGTCCACGACGCCATCCGAGTTGCTCCGACATTTCTATTCTACGCCCTACTCCGCGTGTGTGAATCATCACGGACCGCCGTTTTTTTTAATTATTTATGTGTGTTATTAGCAATTTAAGGTGTTTTAGTTATTTAATTTCAAGTTGAAAATTCCACGATATATCGTGAAAAATTGTATATACAAATAATTTAAGTGCCAATGTTATAAAAAATAAGAAATATATATGTTTTCAGCGCTAAATATTTAATAACGTTTTGACATAAAGCCGTCATGAATACTTCAGATCCGCATTAAGGGGTTTTAATAAATATTAAGCATCAAATACATATTTCAGAAATCAGATTTCATAATACTTACATAAATGTGAATCTCATATTTCGATTGAAGCAATTAATTATTATTCACGTGAAAATGAAATGGTCTATCCCTCTATGCCGACAGTAAATTAAGAATGGTTCTAATTAATATTCGATCAATACGGAATAAGACTGATGAATTGTATTTGTTTTTGGAAGAGTTAGGGTTTCCCCAAATAGTTGCTATTACAGAACACTGGTTACAAGTTGGTGAACCAGTTTTTGTCGAAAAATATACTATCGTCAGCAGATATGATAGAAGTAATACAGACCATGGTGGAACTCTAATTTTATCCTTAGACAAGGACTTTTCTGCTGTATCTAAATACGACTTTCTACAAGCTGAAAATTTCTTCGAATTTTCCATTGTAAACAACAAAAACATTGATTTGTTTATTATTTGTATTTATAGAACACCTAAATCAAATGTTCACCTCTTTCTAGAGAATCTTCTTAATCTACTTGACGCATTGCCTATAAAAAGTAAGAAAATTTTATGCGGCGATTTTATTATTGACTTTGCTAATGTATGTGCTACTCAAAAGTCTTTGATCAATATTTTTGAATCATTCAGTCTCACTATGCACGTAAATTCTCCAACTAGAATCACAGAAACAACATCTACAATTATAGATTACGTAGTCTCTGATTTTAAACCCGTTGATGTAGAGCACCAAGTAATTAGCTCAGGTCTCTCAGACCACGAAGCAGTATTTGCCAAATTTTTGATACCCCGTACAGCTCCAAAAAAAGTCCGTCAGCTAGGTAGAATTTTCTCTAAGCATAATTTCAAAAATTTCTATAATTTATGTCTAACTACTGATTGGAATGGTCTTTCTGAAGATATTGACTTCTTAAATAAAATAATTATGTGTTTCAATACAGCTTTCCCCTTCGCCCCATTAAAACTAAATGTCATAAATCTTGGACAACTAAAGGAATAAGAACATCATCTAAAAATATGAGGTCACTCATGTATATTAAAAAGTACACAGATAATCCCCTAATATTAAACTATATCAACAACTACAGAATATTGTATCGGAAAATCACCAAATCTGCTAAGAAAAACTATTACAAAAATCGCATCGCAAGAGCTAAAAACTCCTCCAAAGAAACCTGGTCTATAATAAATGACTTAAGGAATAAAACCCGTTCTTCAAACAGTGTAAATCCTAGCCCAGATGAACTAAACAATTATTTCGTAAATGTAAGTAAAAATATCAAATCTAACATAGCTCCGAGTCAGGATGCTCTCTCCTTCCTCCTACCTACTAAAAGGATCACTGAAAGTTTCTTCCTAAGACCAGTAGACAAGCATGAACTAGTGCAAACCATAAACAACATCCAAAATAAATTTTCCTGTGGAATTGATGGCCTGTACACCAAAATATTTCTAAATATACCGGATGTAGTAATCAACATTTTAACTTCACTGATTAATGAATCCTTTGAAATTGGTCTCTTTCCTAACTGTCTAAAAACAGCTATAATAATCCCACTTCATAAAGGTGGCGACAAAACCAAAACCTGTAACTATAGACCTATCGCGTTATTGCCTACCTTATCGAAGATAGTAGAACGGCTAATGAAAAACCGTCTTTTGCCCTTTCTTTTCAAGCATAACATCCTCACAGCTCATCAGTATGGCTTTCTACCTAAAAAATGCACTAGCGACGCAATGTTTTCCGTTCTTAATGAAATATACACATCACTTAATGATAAACTTTTCACCGCTTCAGTATTTTGTGACTTCGCAAAGGCCTTCGATTGTGTAAATCATGATATTTTAATTAATAAGTTACAAATTTATGGCATACGGGGTTCTCCTTTACAATGGTTTAAAACTTACCTAGAAAATAGAAATCAACAGGTGCGGGCGAATGGTGAGGATTCTACAAATCTAGCAATAATCAGTGGAGTACCTCAAGGATCAGTATTAGGTCCAATTTTGTTTTTATTATTCATCAACGACATCACAGACTTAAGAATAAGTGGTAGAATTACTTTATTTGCTGATGACACCAGTGTAACCTGGAATAATTCTAACATGCAGACATTACAATCTATCATAAGTGAAGATCTAGTGACTATTAAGTCCTGGTCTGATTCGAATGGACTTTGTTTCAACACCAGTAAAACTGTAGCATTGTCTTACAGAGGTACTTTACAACCTATAACTTTAAACAATAATCTGATCCAAACGGTGACTTCAATCAAGTTTTTAGGTCTTTATATAGACGATTCTCTAAAATGGTCTGCTCATATAGATACCTTAGCAAAAAAATTATCCTCCGCATGTTTTGCCATTAAATCGGTTTCTAAAGAGCTGACACCTTCTACTGCATTAATAACCTACTTTTCCTTATTCGAATCTCACCTTCGCTATGGTTTACCTTTCTGGGGTTCTTGTAGCTTATACCTTTTCGAATCTATTTTTAAACTGCAAAAAAGAGCAATCCGCTATGTATTTGGTTTAAGTAGTAGGACACATTGCGAAAATTACTTCAAAAATTTCAAAATTCTAACCCTTCCTGCTCTATTTATTTTCGAATCCGTCTGCTTAGTTCGCAAGCACATTCAAAATTTATCCGAAAGACCGACTCGTAGATATCCTACAAGAAATTTAGAGACTGATGTTTATTTAACAATGCCCACTTCTGACCTATTAAAACATTCCATTACCTACAATGCCAAAAAATTGTATAATAACCTTCCGATGCAATTAAAATCTATAAATACATACGATAAGTTCCGAAGACTGGCTAAAGCTTTTCTTCTAGAAAGACCATATTACACAGTAGCAGAATTTTATAACGTACCTTAGACATTTGAGTTCCACATACAATGGCATTAATTAAATAATTAAATAATAAAGTTTAAATTTAAATTTAAATTTAAAAATTAAATTAGAATAATTATAATGACGGATATTGCATATCCATTGCAATTGTTATTCCTATTTTGTCTGTTTGTTTCTGTTTGTTTTTTCTGCTGTTTAGTTATTTTTTATAATATGTTTAGTATTTAAGTTACACGCTTTGTCTATAAAATTTTTGTAAATTTTTTTACGACAATAAAGCATATCTCTCTCTCTCTCTCTTTCCCTCCACATACATCTCACAAGATGCAGCCCTTGGACGTGGTTGTTTTTGGCCGGTTTAAAGCAAAGTTGAAAATAGCATTTAATATATGATATTCCTGCCCTAGCTAAAATTGCTTACTTCGATTCATTCACTGCGAAAACTATAAAAAGTGCCTTCTGAAAACCCGGTATTTGGCCTTTCAACAAGTTTGCCTTCGCAGAAGAGGAATTTGCTCCTTGCGGCATTTATGTTAGCGAAAATAGATCTGTAACTACATCAAATAGATTCTCAAGGGCCTTCCACATCGGCTAGTAAAGCTAGGTAACCTGAAAAGTTAGACGAAATCCAAGCTTTGGAACAACTGGCACCGATTCATTTAACACCGCCTCCAATAATCAACGATAATATAGCCAATGTTGAGGCCAATATGGAACCTGAACCTGCCGATTCATTACCGTTAAATTCGAAAACTCCTTATGTAACACCTTAATATTTTGCATCCTTTGAACCAAAAATGTAATTTTCTTTGTTTTCTGACTTGTGGCAGTTTTTGATTGAGCCATCGATTTGTAGATTGATGGAATGAAAATGTTTTTATATCATTTAAATCACGCTAAAAAAATGGCATTTATTCTCTTCAAAAATGACTCAAAACTAGTTCAAGTTTGACATATGACGTAAAAGTGTAAAGCAAAAGTATGGACACTTTTAGTATTGTCATATCATCTCCTTTTTATTCTATATGTGACGTCACGCCTTGTTAATGTCCGATGCACAAAATAGCGTGGTTTCAAGAGGAAACCTCTCGTGCTCAATCAGCATACTACACCGACAGACGTGACCAGCCATATCGCAGTAGCGTACCAAAAAAATAGAGATTAACATGTATAAACAACAAAAATATTAAAATATAATTAAATTTTTATGTTATTTTAAAACAATGTGTTTTTATGAAATGTAACTGGGTATTCTGGTTGTGATTTTAATTTATTTTCTCTACGAAGACATATAACTTCTTAACGCAAATAATCAAATGGGGTGTTTTGTTTCAGTGATACCACAGCAGTGTCGTTACAGAGGGGTAAAATACGACTGCGGACTGAGCATCAGTTGCGTTCTTGGTGGCGGAAGACCTTTGGATTTGTGCTCCGGAGGAATGATTTGGGCCTGTTGCGTCGATCGAGAAGTTTCCCAAACACCTTCGACTAGGCCGGATGTAGGTGTATTAAACAATGCCAGTAAGTTTTAATATAAGATCAATTTGAATATTTTAAATGAAAGATTAATGTAAATAGACTACACAGAACGAACAAGGGACTACTTTTAAAAATGTGAATGGTTTTTTTACTAGAATAACTAGTTATTAAAATCGTTTTTGCATGTATTGGACTTTTTTTTGAAAAAATATACTACATTTTGTTGTATAATATGTTTATTTGTGGACATATAACTTTGTTTATGATAAGTAAAATTTAATAAAAGACAAAAATGGTTCGTTTTTCGTTTTGGGTGGTATATATTCAAGCACTGCTACTACTACTACTTCCACTATTACTTCTTCTACTTCTATTACTATTTACTTTGCAATTATAGCCTTTATTATTATTTATTTATTATTTATATTATTTTTTTCATAAAATTGGTTGCTTTTGTGTATTGTTGTCTTATCATCAATAATAATAATAATTTTGAAGTTCCAGCCTTTTTCATAATTTTCGCATAGGTTTTTGGACAGGAAAAAACCTTTTCTATATTTTCAGATATCTCGTAATGCGTTAATATCGATATAATTGACAAAAATCGATTTAATATAATAAAATAGCCATGTTTCATCTCTATTACCCAACAGTTGACAACCAAGATTTGAACAGCAACGATGATAACTATAGACCAACCCGACCAGTGGTTATCCAGAGGCCTTCTCCAGGAATTAGACCATCATCGCAAAGACCAACGTTTCAGGAAGAGACCGAAGATTATTATGATTACGATTACCATAGCAGCAGACCGTTTGGAGACGAGCCGTACAAGCCATCTAGGGGTAAACGTTGTAAACCTTTTCATAAACGTAGTAATAGTGGAAGGTTGTGGAAATTGGTATAACTATGTACATGTTGTTTTATCACTATTGGGAAATTGACATTTTTATGTAATGTAGTTTATTGAAATTGTAAATCATTTTACGAAAAAAAAAAGTCTTGAGTCGCAGATCGTTCAACCATATTCAAATTACTCAGTTTCAGTTTGCAACGACCCTGAATTTCTATGAATTTCTATGAATTTCTATGAATTTCTATGAATTTCTATGAATTTCTATGAATTTCTATGAATTTCTATGAATTTCTATGAATTTCTATGAATTTCTATGAATTTCTATGAATTTCTATGAATTTCTATGAATTTCTATGAATTTCTATGAATTTCTATGAATTTCTATGAATTTCTATGAATTTCTATGAATTTCTATGAATTTCTATGAATTTCTATGAATTTCTATGAATTTCTATGAATTTCTATGAATTTCTATGAATTTCTATGAATTTCTATGAATTTCTATGAATTTCTATGAATTTCTATGAATTTCTATGAATTTCTATGAATTTCTATGAATTTCTATGAATTTCTATGAATTTCTATGAATTTCTACGAATTTCTATGAATTTCTATGAATTTCTATGAATTTCTATGAATTTCTATGAATTTCTATGAATTTCTATGAATTTCTATGAATTTCTATGAATTTCTATGAATTTCTATGAATTTCTATGAATTTCTATGAATTTCTATGAATTTCTATGAATTTCTATGAATTTCTATGAATTTCTATGAATTTCTATGAATTTCTATGAATTTCTATGAATTTCTATGAATTTCTATGAATTTCTATGAATTTCTATGAATTTCTATGAATTTCTATGAATTTCTATGAATTTCTATGAATTTCTATGAATTTCTATGAATTTCTATGAATTTCTATGAATTTCTATGAATTTCTATGAATTTCTATGAATTTCTATGAATTTCTATGAATTTCTATGAATTTCTATGAATTTCTATGAATTTCTATGAATTTCTATGAATTTCTATGAATTTCTATGAATTTCTATGAATTTCTATGAATTTCTATGAATTTCTATGAATTTCTATGAATTTCTATGAATTTCTATGAATTTCTATGAATTTCTATGAATTTCTATGAATTTATAAAAATTCCTACAAATTTATACGAATTTCTACGAATGTCTAGGTGTCTAGGTATTTATTTCTATGAATTTTTACGAATATCTACGAATTTCTACTAATTTTCATGAAGGATATGATGATGGCTCTGTAAAACTAAAAGCGCACAGTACAATTTCATTAAAATTTTATTCATATACAAATTTAATCACTCGTATCACTTTTTTGTGACTTCAGTTCATCAAGAAGAACATATAGACACAATAGTAAATAAAATAAATAATTGTAAACCATTTATGTCTACCGACGAGATAATTTGAATTAATGAAATAATTTTAAGGCTAATACATAGAAATATGAATAATAACTACTGCGGAAGTGACTGCATATACATTTATCGCGTTTGTTAGTTTCAGATAAATTGGGAAGACTTTCTTCAGACCATTTAATTCGGGTGAAAGTAAAAAGTAATGCCGAATGTGCAATTAAAGTGTAACAAGTGAAATCAACAAGTTGACGACGTTCATGCGAGTGGTATTCTATACCACTTTGCACCGAGAATACTTAATGAATTAATTATATGAGGAAACGATGGGAACAACTCTGCTATATTTAGATCATATCGAGTTTTTTTTATGTAGATAAAGATTTGATATAGAAAAAAACAAAAAAGGGAAATAAAACCTTTTGGACAAACAAAAAAAACATTAATTGTTTAAATAACATTTAAAAAAAGGCAAGAAAATTATTGGAGTGTTTGAATAAAAACGATATATTGCAAATTATTTATAAATTTGTTACAACAAAGCAAGGATAATTAACAATTCTGTAAAGAGCCTTCCTTTAACTAGAATTAGCCTATAACTACTTTTTGGAATAATATACCTATTTATAAAGATTTCAGTAGGTAGCCCTCCGTACTATTTGGGGAGTAATAGATACCCCCAAATCCCCCCGAAAACATGAACCACTGCCAAAAAACAAGTCTTGCTACGCCACTGACTATTAAAGACCACACCACTGTTCGTATTTATGATATTTTTTAGGTTAAAATACCAATAGTTGTGAGACAACATGTATATATTTAAATAAGAAAATAAATTAGTAAATAAAAGAACATAAATGGAAAATTCTACATTTATTTACTCGTGTGAGGTTTATCAACTTTACATATTGTACATTATTATTAGGTATAATACCTACACCCAAGCAAAACTGTTTCAAACAATATTAAAATATGTATAGACAACTGTTCACACTTAGTTGATTAGTTTCGTTAGATATCTGTTTCTTGTGAAAACTAAAAAATCTCTTATTTCTAGGTTGCGGGGAACTACATACAAGGAGCAACAGGATAGTCGGCGGCCATGCCACAGGATTCGGATCGCATCCATGGCAAGTGGCTTTAATTAAGACTGGATTTTTATCTAAGAAATTAGCTTGCGGAGGAGCGCTGCTCAACGAACGATGGATAGTGACTGCAGCGCATTGTGTTGCTACGTAAGTTTGTATTTTTGACTTGTATCTTTCTCTATCAGTAGGTAAGCCATGAAAAATAATGTATAATCATATTTATTAGTTTAAAAGCAGTATAAATCCTACAAAAACAATTTTAAAACTTATATTAGACATAAAACATTATAGTAATAACAATCACACAAAAATCATGTCTTCTTGGCTTTAATAATACTCTCCCTAATTCACCCCCTTACGAGTGAATTTCAACCCTTGAAGTCGACTGAACGACTTGTGTAGGGGAAGGGACGGCTATTATTATTATTTGCCGTGGCGCTCCGGGTGCCATTTGACTTACAGGTGAGGAAAACACGGAAAACCTCACCCACCATCATCGAGACGGTAATGCATGGCGATTTTTTAATCTGCATGTCATATCAACAGAAATTGAATTTCTATTAATACGGCACACATCAAATCCTAAACCGAACCATGCAATTTAATTAAAAATCCACATAGTCTGGTCTGGGACAGTCTCAGACTCACAAACTTGCCTATAAATGAATATAAGCGCGTTAGACCGCTACACTACCGACCCGACTATGTACAATACAATCTCTGAAACAGTTAAAGATATTAATAGTATTTTCATATTTAAGAAACTTAAAAAAATCAATACTAACTTATCAAAAGAAAAATTTAACAATCTTATTGAACCACAAAACTTATAAGAGGACCGGGACACCAATAAATCTCACCTCGAAGATTTCCTGCATCAAAAAGGCTTCAAAGAACTCTCTCAAGAAATTCACGCCGTAGTATTGGTGTGTTAATCAAAGACGATAACATAAAAACTGTGAACTTCGAACATAGCATTAAACTTCTGCTGTCAACACGCTTCGGTCATCACAGGCGTGTCTGACTAGACAGATGAAGAATACAACCTAACTGTATCATAGAAATAATATAGAAGACCAATATAAACATAACATTTAAGCAGAAATTGAAACCTACTGTGCATAAAAACGCGTCTCTGCGCCTGACATCGCAAAATAGTGTGTCTAGAAGCTTGCGCAATATGCATGACTTGTCCCTGTAGTGTTGCCAAATTTATTAAACATACCTAACAGAAAAGAATTTTAAATTAATTAATTTTTAAATTATATGATTTAAACAGTTTATATCTACGAACTATCGCCACAAAATAACTTATACACATTTAAATAATCAACTAATAATATTTATGTGTAATTACATTCCCAAAAATATATACAAATACCGTATTAATGTCATTAATACCGTATTTTTAATGTTCAATAAGCGATTCACCTACAAATTCAATATTGACCTGGCAATAGCACTAAAATCCGGTGTTTCAAGGCTATATGACGCTGCCCTTACAGGACCGTTTGTAGTTTATTATTTATGCCGCGTTTGAGAATCCACATCGGATGCATCTGAGATGTAGTAAATCTTTGATCACGTGATTCAGTATACGTAAATGTAATGGGACAGATGTGTCCGATGTGGATAAAAAACGCTCGAGATGTAAAAAATGCATCCGATGTGGATTCTCAAACGCGGCATTAATTACACGATGAAAGTGGCATTTTATTTTTAGTTTTGTGTAGTGTTTAGTCAAATCCTAGGTACAATAAAAGACATTTTTACATTGGCTAATGAAAATGTAATCAATGTATTAGGCAGCTGTTATATTTATTACAAGATTTATGCCTGCAAATCTAAACCTACCTAAGAATTATAATTATGTAAATAGAGAGCTGTATATTTATATACAGGCTGCCCAGCGACGGGGAGACATTATCGATATCGGTTTTAAGGCATTTTAAAACATAAACCCGATCTCAACAATCTTAGGAACTCTTCTGTCACTCGATATTTTAATCGGTACTTCCTCTTCGCTTTTTGCCTGGCACAACAATTATTTACATTTCTTCATTCCTTACCGCGTTCGAACCAGTAAGGTTTAAAGAAATTTAAAAAAAAACCTACTTTAAAAATAAAGATGTTAATGATTTTCTTATGGATCCCATCTTCAGATCTTGACTTAATGTATATAAAACTGTTTCCTTTTCTAACAAAAATAATCCTAGAAATCTGGCAACGTGGTAAAGAATTATCGCTCAATATACATAAAAAAATATTTCAACGAATTGAGAATATCCTACCATTTTGAAGTATGTTAAAAAAAAATTGTTAATAAAGTGAAAAGTAGGGCATGAACATATATTATAAAGTATATAAAATGATAGATAAATCCAGTTTAGAAGGTATTATAAATAAACTGTGGAAATATCGAGAATCTCGATTTTGAATCGGAAAAATATTCTACGCAATTTAGTATGAAAGCTGATCAAAATGAAACACATGAACGACGAACTGTTATTGACAACTTTCTTCAAACGTTTTCTATTTTTCCGAAAACTAACTAGATAGTTCGAAAATCATTTCCTTCGTTAAAACGCGTCTTGTTCCGAAAAAGGTACACGCCTGCCAACATTCATCGTTCATTAAAAAAGTGGTAGATACAAAACGCTTCGTATTGTAAGGCCAAAATATATTTAGAAATCGAAATAGTCATATAAACAAAAAAATCATATGAGTGAGATAACTACCAAATTAATGATTTACAAGTTTATTCCTATTATTTATAAAATAGGTTTGCAATGTGCTGGTGTGGAATGTTATCATCGACTAAAAACTATAAATTGGTTTAGGCTATATAGAATGTTTCTAGTAAGCAGCAACTAATTTTTATTATGGAACCGAAAGACCCTTTTAAAAAGGTTCAAAATTAAAATAAAATATGTACCAAGTAAATGTAGTAGTATTTTTTAATTTTTTAATTTATATTGAAAATGGTAACATGAAAGGTTTTCTGTCTAACGACTCATAGTCTCGGCTGACAAAATGTAAAAATATCGAACATAATATTCCTGGGCCCTATTTTGCACTCCCCAGATTAAATTTAGTTGTAGCAAATGATATTATCAAATAAGATGTCAAATCACAAGCAAAATCTCGTGACTACAGTACTAATGATTGCCTGTTTGGAAAAGTATCTTTGTTTGTAAATATTTATATGCATAGTTATATTTAAATGCGCGAGTGTAATGTTAAGTATAAACAAAATCCGCCCATTATGTATATACGTTTAGTTACCGACCCTAGTAGATAGGCAATTTGTTATTGTTTTAAGTTTTACCGTAGGGAGAGAGAAAATCAATATTAGGATAAATGGTCCAGCTCCTTTCTGGTTACGTAGGTACCTAAAAAGTATTTTAGTTTTTGGTTAAGTAATTAATTATTGTAACAGTGATTTTCTTGTGATAGTACCTAATTTAGATTGTGGATTAAAGTTTTTGTATATAATTTCGCTGTTTAATAATAAACGTAGTCAAAACCGGAGCACGTGGTTTTTCTGGAAAGTATTTTTAAAATCACAAGCAAAATCTCATGACTACTGTACTAATGATTGCCGAAAATTAACTAATTCATATTTTATGCCATATCTTTCTTAATAAGGACTGTCAGAACCATATTTACCTTAACTTGAAATTTTTTAATCGTTTTTTGTATAGAATCATCTCTAAAAATATATGATTGAAATATCGTGCGAACTATTTGTTCGATCAATAAAAAACTTGCACCGGTCCTGTTCGCGCCAGCACCGTTATACGCATGAGCTCCGACACACTATTTTCTCCTTATGGTTTCATTTTTGATATATGGAATCGGCTTTCTATACTATTTCTATGAACTGTATTCGATTGATACACTGCCAAACACATTGTAGCCAAAGAAAAAATTAGATGAGTACTACCTTTAAATCACCAGAACCTGAAGGTATTCATCCAGCTCTACTTCAGTGTTCAGTACGCCACCTAGGACTCGCCTAGGCTGCAGCTACCCAGACCTACGTATTTTGTTTCTATCGTGGTAACATAACCTCACTTTTTGAACTTTTCTAACACAAACTATCATTTTTCGTTATATTATTGTCCGAGCATAATCGTTTCGCCAGGTAAAGTGTAATAAACAATCTCGGAGTGTAACCCCTGCGCATGGGGGAGCCCTCTGGGTCAGCCAGAACCGGGTACGAGACCCTCTACTCGTGACGTGTCCGCGAACGCATCGCCGCCACCGCAAAACCTCCCACAGTGAACGTTAATGTGTCCAAAAAACACGCAGCAATATTCAGTCCGAAGCTCTTCAAAGCCAAGCACACTCACCCCTACAAAACAGTTAGTACAACAAGAATTACAACTTAAGCCTTGGTTTCTTTGAACACTCCGACGCGGTGAGCGGACTGTCCGTCGACCGTCGCGTTTTGACGATTTTATCTAACCAGAGTATTTAAATGGGAACGGTTTTCTCGAATCCGCTTAGCTGAGCAGGACGGCGTCATGCCGCTGATTTGTCGCGACTAGTCGGTTCATATCTGTTGAGTTTGATATCGGCGGAATCGTCGGAGTGTGCGGAGACAGTGTGTGAATACAAATAATTATATTGTTATTATTTTTTAAACAATTAGTGACAAATTCACACATACAGATCATGAAATTTTAATAGATTTGGTTCGACAACATCCTCCTTTATACAGTGTGACAGGAAATGTCGTCCTTTACAAAACTCAACAGTACAGTGATATTAAAGGCACCTTCTGTATCGCGACACAAAAACAAACTTATCCACTGGCTTAATTGAAACTTTGACTGTTGCAATTGCCAGTTCCTCTTCTTCTTCCTCCTCTTCCAACAAAAATAACAACGAACCAATTTATTTGAGTCCATTTTAGTACCTTGGGCGAAAATCGCTGTCCTCAGCGGTCGACGGAGTATCTGCTCATCGCGACGGAGTGTTCAAAGAAACCAAGGCTTAACTCTCCTAACCCTGGGTTATTTACCACCTTCAGAAGAGACCCCCTGGCCAAAAATGTTTCGTCAAAAAGTTTGGAGAAAGAACTTAATCAATTGTTGAAAGACCTGCACATAGATGAACAGGGTTCTAATATCGACACCCCGGACACCATCAAAAACCTCTCAACTTTTAAAGGGGAAAAAAAGTATGGAGAAAATTCAAAAAATCCGCCAGACGTCCCCAAATTCTAATCAGCCTACAAAACGCTGCCAATGGATACATAATTCACTATACGGATGAACCAACGTACACACCACACAACGGACTCACACCTAGTACACTGGATGTCGCAATTACTAAAAACATTCACGACGTACACAACATCCGGACGATAACTACCCTAGGTTCCGATCACGATCCAGTGTACCTAGAAATCAAAACAACTAACAAAATCAACAGATTACAAACAAAATACTACGACTACAACTCGACTAATAGGAACAATTACAGACGAATTATAGAAACGAACTTAAAAATTAATAAAAACATACAAAACACACAACAATTAGAACAATTCACTAATGAATTTATTAGCGTCGTACAAAAAGCTAGGAACGACACTACTAAAATCAAAACCAGGACTCAACACACGGACGATCTGCCACCTGAAATTACTGAACTAATCACGATCCAAAACCACATAAAAAAAAGGTGGCAGATACATAGAAAAGATGAAGACAGGGTTAGCTTCTGGGACATTGCCAAATACATTAACAGTGAAATTAATGCTCATAGAAACGCTAAATGGCAGAAAACCCTGTCTGAAATCAATTCTATGGACAACTCACTATGGAGAGTGGTGAAGAAACCCCAGTCACTGCTCCCTCCACTGATACAAGGACAAAATACATTTACTACAGACAAAGGCCACGCCCTCGGTGTCTACTTTCAGTCAAATTTCGCAAACAACGCTGCAAATAACGTAAATCAGCAAATTATAGAAAATATGGTGGACGAACTAAAAGTAACCCCCCCCCCCACAAATAGTCCCTCAAACTTTCATGACCTCTCCTAAAGAGGTAGGGGAAGTAATTAAGGGTCTCAAAAACAGGAAAGCTCCAGGACCGGAAGACATAAGTAACATCATGATTAAAAACATACCAATCAAGGCGATTGTACAACTCCACTACCTAATTAATGCTATTTTCAGGTTACAACACTACCCCAGTATCCTGAAAATGGCAAATATAATACCTATCCTCAAACACGGTAAAAACCCGAAAAATATAGAAAGATACAGACCCATCTCGCTATTAAACACTATAGCGAAAATAACGTACAAAATCATTTTAAAACGACTTAAGCAATTTGAAGAACAAAGACAAATTATCCTGCAGGAACAGTACGGTTTCAGAAGCGGACATAGCACCGTGGCCCAGGTCATTAGAATCGTACATCACGCCCTAGACAGCGAGAAAGCTTTTGACACCGTGTGGGCCTGCGGGTTAATTCACAAGATGCTGGTGAATAAATTTCCCGTGTATATTATAAAAATAATTCTGTCTTACTTACAGGACAGACAATTCAACATAAAACTAAACAACACAATAACAGGACCATACACAGTGCAAGCGGGAGTACCACAAGGCCGCCGCATCTGTACACCATCATGACTCATGACATGCCGAATTTTTACTGATTTGCTGACGTAACGAACAAGCTCCGTTTTTGAAGAATCTTGTCACTGGAGATGAGTCATGGCTTCTCTTTAAAAATGTCAAAAGAAAGAAGGTCTGCGTTTCGCCAGGTGTTGCACCAAAACGAGTACCGAAAAATGAACACTGTAAAAAGGCAATGTGGTGTGTTTGGTGGGACAAAAGCGGAATTATCCATTGGGAAATCATTTCAAATGGGATTTGTTATTGGTGGAATGACGACGATGAGCGTAACGAATGGCGAATTCCAGACAAAAACGGCAAGCGGCAATTCAACGTCAACAGTGATGGCGCAACTTGACCGCCTTCACGCCGCAATCGAGACAAAAAGACCGTGCGGCAAAAACCATATCGTCTTTCGTCACGACAATGCGCGTATACATGTTGAGCGCCGTGTTGTCGAAAGCATCGCCAATAAGAGTTGGGAACTGCTCCCGCATCCGCCATATTCTCCCACAGAAGCACCAACGGACTACCATGTCAATCGATTGCTGAAAAATTGGCTGATACAGAAAATTTTCGAAGATTTGGATAGCTTGGTGGCCGATGTTAAAGCATGGATGGATTGCCTCCAAGAACAGTGACTTTTTTTGCCCGTGGACCGTCTTCTAAGCAAATGGGAATCAGTTATTGAAGTTGATGGTGACTATGCTCCGGAATAATGATTTAAATACCAATCACTATACAATTGAAAATTCATAGGCGTACGAATTCAATGTTATACAATTAAAAACAAGAAGGATGATAAAATTAATTTTATACTTGTAATAGTTTATCTTCAATGCAACTAAATAAGAAAAAGAGTTAAATGAATATTTATCGTCATGATATGATAGAAAATAAATTACGAACATAGACCGTCAGATAGCGACTGATTTAGGTGCCCCATTTTCGCATACAAGCCTCGAAGAGGGTTGAAAAGTACATCAATTAGACCTTTAAATCGTAATATTTCATTTGTTTGTATTACTACAGTAGAGGAAATACGTCATCGACGTGCATTGGTTTTTATATTGTATGAAGTATAGGGAGGCCTATGTTTCTTACTTTTTATTATCTATTTTAATCAAAATTTACCTAAATGTTTTATTATTATTTTTGAGAGTATTAGCATATATTGCCTTGAATAATTCCTTAGTTCAATTAGTCCAATGATTGGCATAATAATTAGGTTTGGATAACTTTGGTATGTTATTTTACTATGTGAATTTTTTTTTTAAAAACATTTCCTACTTTTTAAATGTTTGTCGATTCGTTAGACTTCAATTATTACAATAAACTATGTACTTATTTTCAGAACAGCCAATGGCAACATGCGAATACGATTGGGCGAATGGGACGTTCGTGATCAAGACGAAAAACTCGGATACGAAGAGTATACGGTGGAAAGAAAAGAAGTCCATCCATCTTACTCAGCGTCAGATTTTAAAAACGACGTCGCCCTTGTAAAATTAGATAGAAACGTACGATTCAAGCAGCACATTCTGCCAGTTTGTTTGCCTTCGCCAACGGTAAACGTTTTATTTATTTCCATTTTAAATTTTCATAGAAATTAATCATGTATTGAGAAGGCAAGGGAATATAAGTGTTTTAGGCTAAATCTAACCGTATCTGTTTATAATTGATAAAGATAATGATAAATCTAAGAATATATAACAATTAAAAGAGTTAAAAACAGTTTCAATTCAGTATTATACAGCTTCTTAACTCTAGAACAGGTTACAACGTTATTTTTAAAATGGTTTAAACTATGGAGAGTCAAAATTAACATTTCTAGTCGACACATTAATAAAGGGAATTGTACCAGTTGTAATCAATGAATAACACTGCACTGACAATAAAAATACGACGTCAAATACTTGGAGATTCATTTGGATAGTTGGCTAACAAGAAGTAAGCATCTATAGAACAAAGGATTACAGCTGGAACTTACAATTTCAGTTTGGTCAACAAACTACTTACCTACAATTTATGGAACTGCCAGTGATTCAAACTTTTAAAAAGATACTGCGCTTTCAATCAAAAGTTTTAAGGTAACTTTGCATAGCTCCTTGGTACATCATAAACAATATCATAAACGGGGATCTTTAAAAACCTATCTTAAAAGAGTAAATTAGTTTCCTGTGCTCCGAATATTATAACAGCTACAAGATTATTAAATGTTGGACCAGCAATCTTCTGATTTCTCTACAAAACAGAAGACTTAAAAAACCAGATCCACAGAACCTTGATGAATATTAAGCTTCTTTCATAGTTTTCTTAGGTATTAACTATTCATTTAGCAGCCAAATGTATTGTTTATCCTTTTTGCAAAATAGATTCCATTAATAAAGAACGTTAAAAAACCTGTAATACTGAATTGAAACTTTTTTCGTTTACTATCCATTTCCTAGTGGTACATTCATCGTTTTCCAGATAAAGTTGGTTGGAAGAAAAGCAACGGTGGCTGGTTGGGGACGTACCCGACACGGACAAGCTACAGTTCCATCTACTTTACAAGAAGTCGATGTAGAAGTGATACCAAATGAAAGATGCCAAAGATGGTTTAGAGCGGCGGGACGACGGGAAATTATCCACGACGTTTTTCTTTGCGCTGGATACAAAGAGGTAGCGTATAATATGAAAATATATATATTTTTTGTTTGGGTATTGTTAGTAGTCATTATTGACTATTCTACAATTTTAAACTTTGTTATCAAATTCTTATCATCATATTGCTTAAATTCTAAGCAGTCAAATCTTGAACAATTTTATAACATTGTTTATGATGCAGCTCTTGATTTATTTGTTCCCATGAAAAAGTTCAGATCTAGCAATTTTCCGTCTTGGTTTTCACCTTATCTTAAACAAGTAACTATTAATAAAAAGATATCCCACAAACGATATAAGGAAACCAATAACTTAGACAAGCATGCAAGACAATTAGCAGTGAGTGTTACAATTAAACAGTAATAATATAACAATGTTCCTTCTTCATTCTGGAAGCATTAAGAAATCAAATCCTTCAAGTAATGAATCTTAATGGCAAATTAAGTAATAATGGCTATTCAACAGTGTGTCTTCTTTCTTCAGTGTACTCTAGTGACATTCTTGCTTCTTCAAATTAAAGCAATGATAAAGTCATGGATCTGAACTATTTTCTCATTTCTATACAAGATGTTTTGAATGGTATTGTGAATTAAAACCAAAATTATCTTTTGGTCCTGATAGTTTGCCTGCCTTGTTTTTGAAGAATTGTGTTTGTACTCTCACACTTACATTTGTTATACAATATTTCCAAGCTTACGGAAAAATAGTTTTGTAACCCCTATTTATAAGGAAAAATGTGTCAAATTACCGTGGAGTTTCAATTTAGTCTAAAATTCCAAAGTTGTTTCATAAATTGATTTCTGTACAACTAGCTTGGTCAGCAAAACATATAATTGTTCAAGCACAGCATGGCTTTTCATCAGGTAAATCAACTTCAACAAATCTTCTATGTTATCAGAATGACATTTTGAATGCCTTTGAGAACCATTTGCAAATTGATAGTACATATACAGACTTCTCAAAAGCATTTGATAGGATTAATCACAATCAAAAGATAAGTAAATTAGAATCTCTTGGAATGAATAGAGGTGTTTTGGAATGGACCAACAGTTTCATATCGAATAGGGTGCAGTGTGTCAAAATTAATAATTTTATATCAAATGCACTAGAAGTTCCTCCTGCAATAACACATGGTTCTTATTGTAGACCAATTCTATTTTATTTTATTATTTATTAATGAAACATTTGATCGTTCAAAATATCTTCTATTTGCCGATGATCTGAAAATATTTAAATCAATAGAAAACGATGGTGATTGTGATTTGTTGCAAGCTGATATGGATAGGTCCATGCACAATGCCCTCGACCGTTATGCTATGACTTTTTCATGAATATATGGTTAATGGCAATGCTCTGAAAAGAGTCAATGAAATCAAAGACCTTGGCATTATTATGGATAAAAAATTAAACTTTAAGAGCCATATACCAAACTTGAATTCTACAGGATTTAGAAATATCAGTTTTATACTTAGAAACAGTAAAGATCTATCTCTGAATAGTATAGGGCTTGTATATTCATCATTTGTTAGGTCAGAATCTTGAGTATGGATCTGCTGTGTGGTGTCCTATTTATCAATGCCACGTCAATGTGTTAGAATTTAATATTTTGCCAGTAATAAGGTCATATCCTGGGGCTTTCTGCGAGTTGATGTCTGTCTGAATTTCATTCGTAACTTCATTGGAACGTCTTTTGTAGATGGTCAGCTTTCTAGTTGATTATTTATTGCCCATTTGCTCTCTGCTATTCTGATAGGAGGACAGTGGTTACATAATCTTTTTATCTCTGCCTTTCAGTGTCTATGTCATCTGTAATTCCCTACTAGGTATCTATCTATTAGAGCAAATGGGGTACCACCTAAAGTTTCTCCGATTGGTTAAATACCATTTGGTTTGCTTTCAGGTTACTTTAAAAAACTTTAAGGATCTATCTTGAGCCTTTTAACCTTCCCATTCATTCTGGAGCTTAATTCATTCTCTGACAAAAAAAGTTAAAACATTAAAAGAAGTTTTCGGGGTCAATATAATGGACATATTTCTATCTATAGTAGACATGGAATTGGCAGGGTTTAAAGCTTGTATTTAGACATTTGTTAGAAAATCTTTATTTGCACAATGTTTCAAACAAGTATCTTACCATTTTGTCAGGTATTTGGTTATTTTTATTGCAATTAATCACTGCTTACATCAATTTTTTCTTTTAGTTAGTGTTATGTAGAAATATACTTGAAATTTATTCAATTTTTTAGGGAGGCAGAGATTCCTGTCAAGGAGATTCCGGAGGGCCTTTAACTCTGACTATAGAAGGACGAAAGACTTTGATAGGTCTGGTTTCGTGGGGTATTGGATGCGGAAGAGAACATCTACCGGGAGTGTATACTAATATTCAAAAATTCGTGCCTTGGATGGACAAAGTTATGAACGGTTAATCGTACATTAAAAAAAAAATTAAAATATTTATTTACTTTTTATGCAAATTTTATTCAAATTCCAGGTGAATTTGACTGGTTTATACAGTTTCTGATATTTACTATTTTTTTTTATAAGGATTCCAGGGTTCGTCCTAGTTGTGATATTTAAAACTTTGAATTAAAATATAAACGACGAATTAAGTCATTCTGATTAGATATATTTTTTTAAATTATATCAATTGCATCGTGCTAAAACATGTGTCATTTAGTTTATCCATTTTTTGACGAGAAATTTACTTTATATAATATACATGTTTCTATACAGGGTTGTGCAACAATGTTGAGGTCCTTCATAGGTGTCATTAGTTAGTGATGAAAAAAAAAAAAAGAAAGAAAATGGGTATATAAAGGATATACAACTAACAGGTAATAATATATTCAGGAAGTTCCAAAACAATTTTTTTTAAAACTGTCTAAATAAACAAAATTAAAAATTTAAATTTCTTTTCTAACTTCTTTTTCTTCTTCTTTTACTTGCCACTTTTTCTGACAATAATTCTCAATCTATCATTTTCTATCTTCACTTTATTTTTAATCACCTTTGATTCTTTATCAAAAAATTTTCATATTTTCAATACCTAATCTTCACTACTGTTCTTCTTTTCTCACAATCTCTTCTGACAATCTTATCTTACAATATTTTCTGCTAATCTCTTCTGACCATTTTTTCTGATCATCTTTTCTGACACTCTTTTCTATTATTCTTTTCTGATAATATTTGCTGATAATGTTTTCTTATAATCTTTTCGGATAATTTTTTCTGATAATCTTTCTAATAATCTTTTCTGATAAGCTTTTCTGACAATCTGTTTAATTAATCTTTTCTGAAAATCTTTTTTGAAAATCTTTTCTGAAAATATTTTCTGAATTTTTTTCTGATAATCTTTTCTGATAAATTTTTCTGATAAACTGTTCTGTTATTCTTTTCTGATAATTTATTTTCTGATAAACATTTCTGATAATATTTTCTGATAAACTGTTCTGATAATCTTTTGCCAATTTTGTTACCCTTTCAAAAGAATCATTCCAAAACCCCCTTTTTCATTATTGTACATCAATAATATCTGACATTTTTTTGGCAATATTTTGTAACATTATTCTCTGGCAATTTTTTCTGACAATACTTTTCTGACATTCTTCTGACAATATTTTTTGATAATCTTTTCTGACAATTTTTTCTGACAATCTTTTCTGGCAATCTTTTCTCACAATCTTTTCTGACAATCTCTTATAATCTTTTCTGACAATATTTTCTAAAAAAATTTCTGCCAATCTGATAATCTTTTTTGGTAATTTTTTCGGATAATCTTTTATGATAGTCTTTTCTGATAAGCTTTCTTGATAATTTTTTCTCATAAGCTTCTCTGATAATCTTTTCTGATAAACTTTTCTGATAATCCTGTCTGACAATTTTTTACCCATTAAAAATCTTTTCTGGCAATCTTGTCTGACAATCTTTTCTGACACTTTTTTCTGACAATCTTTTCTCACAATCTTTTCTGAAAATCTTTTGTTACAATCTTGTCTGAGAATATTTCCTAACAATTTTTCTGCCAATCTCTTCTAATAATTTTTCTGATAATCTTTTCTGATAATTTTTTCTGATAATCTTTTCTGATAATCTTTTCTGATAAGCTTTTCTTATAATATTTTCTCATAAGCTTCTCTGACAATTTTTACCCATTAAAAATCTTTTCTGGCAATCTTGTCTGACAATCTTTTCTGACATTCTTTTTTGACGATCTTTTATAAAAATCTTTTCTGAGTATCTCTTCTGATAATACTTTTTGATAATCTTTTTTATTATTTTCTGACACTTTTTCCTTTTCAAAAAATTAAAAAATTCTCTTTTTTTCTATTTTAAGACAACAACTTCTGACAATTTTTACTGACATTCTTTTCTGGCAATCGTTTCTGGCAATATTTTCTGTCCATCTTTTCTCACAGTCTGATAATCTTTTCTGATAATTTTTTCGGATAATCTTTTCTGATAATCTTTTCTAATAAGCTTTTCTTATAATCTTTTCTCAAGCTTCTCTGACAATTTTTACCCATTAAAAATCTTTTCTGGCAATCTTGTCTGACAATCTTGTCTGACAATCTTTTCTGACATTCTTTTCTGACGATCTTTTATAAAAATCTTTTCTGAGTATCTCTTCTGATAATACTTTTTTGTTATTTTCTGACACTTTTTCTAAAAACCTTTTCTGACTATCTCTTCTGATAATATTTTTTGATAATCCTTTCTGATATTTTCTGATAATTTTTTTCCCTTTCAAAAAAAAAAAAAATCCAAAATTCCTCTTTTTCTCTATTTTAAGACAACAACTTCTGGCCAGTTTTTCTGACATTCTTTTCTGGCAATCGTTTCTGGCAATATTTTTTAACAATTTTTCTGCCAATCTCTTCTGATAATTTTTTCTGGCCATCTTTTCTGACACTCTTTTCTATTATTTTTTTCTGATAATCTTGTCTGATAGTCTTTTCTGATAATCCTTTCTGATAAACTTTTCAAATAATCTTCTCTGTTAAACTTTTCTGATAATCTTTTTTGACAATATTTTCTTACAATCTCTTCTGAAAATCTTATCTTACAATATTTTCTGACAATATTTCCTACCAATTTTTCTGCCAATCTCTTCTGACCATCTTTTTTGACATTCTTTTCTATTAATCTTTTGTAATAATATTTTCTGATATTTTTTCTGATAATATTTTTTGATAACCCTTGTTGATATTTTCTGACAATTTTTTCCCTTTCAAAAAAAATTTAAAAAATCCTTTTTTTCCCTATTTTAAGACAACTTCTGATAATTTTTACTGACATTCTTTTCTGACAATCGTTTCTGGCAATCTTTTCTGACAATGTTTTCTCACAATCTTTCCTGACAATCTTTCCTGACAATCTTTCCTGACAATCTTTCCTGACAATCTTTCCTGACAATCTTTCCTGACAATCTTCTCTTTCAATCTTCTCTGACAATATTTCCTACCAATTTTTTCTGTCAATCTCTTCTGACAATCTTTTATCGCAATCTTTACTGAAAATCTCTTCTTATAACCTTTTCTAACAATTTTTTCTGCCAATCTTTTCAGACATTTTTTCTGACCATCTTTTCTGGCACTCTTTTTAATAATCTTCTCTGAAAATCTTTCTGATAAACTTTTCTGATAATCTTTTATGATAATCTTTTCTTACAATCTTTTCTGACAATATTTTCTAACAATTTTTTTCGCCAAACTTTTCTGACAGTCTTTTCTGACATTCTTCTGACAATATTTTCTGACAATATTTTCTGACAATATTTTCTGACAATCTTTTTTGATAATCTTTTCTGAAAATCTTTTCTGATAATCTTTTCTGATAATATTTTCTGATAATCTTTTCTGATAATCTTTTCTGATAATCTTTTCTGATAATCTTTTCTGATTATTTTTTTATCCATTCACAAAAAACCTCCTTTCTTCTATTTTAAACCAACAACTCCTGACAATCTTTTCTTACAATGTTTTCTGACAATCATTTGGACAACTCTTTCTGACAATCTTTTGTGACAATTTTTGTTTGACAATCTTTTCAGACAATATTTTTCTGACAATCTTTTCTGATACATTTTTAACCTTAAAAAAATAATTCCCAAAATCTTATTTTCTTCTTAAATTAACAGCTCACGACAATCTTTTCTGCCAAGCTTTTCCGCCAATCATTTAAACAATCCTTTTTGACAATCTTTTCTGACAAATTTTTCAGGTAAGCTTTTTTGACAAAGTTTTCTGGAATTCCTTTCGGAAAATATTTTCTGATAACTCCAATATATCATTTTTTATCTCCCCTTTCTTTTTAACTATCTTTCATTCTTTACCAAAAATTCTTCACCTTCTTTCTTTTGTTCAATTTTAACAAATAAACAACACTCTTTGAGCCAGCCACCTTGACATGTTTTAAAAAATATATTCAATGTTACTAGTTCTCTAAAATAGTCTTTTTAATAGGCATATCGGTGTATTTTCATCCAATATTTTGAAAAAAAAGGCACGTGATCGAAGACAACTTTTTGGAACGCTCAATATATTTTTATATGATAGTTATATATATTATGAAACGCCAGCGCAGCATTGTTGCAGAACACTGTATAATCTCGATTAAAATGCCTCAAACACCTTTTTATATGTTGTTAATACTTCTTTATTAAAAAAAAGATAACTTTTATATAACGGGGATAATTTATATTAGTTACCAGTATTTGTTTATTGTAAAATGCATTCAAAAAATTAATCTAATGTGGAAAATACTAGATGTTGTGAAAGACATCTTATTTGTAGCCCTCTAACTTTATTTTAGGTACATTTATCAAATTAAATTTTAAAGCAAGATTTAGAAATTGGGTATACAAATTGTTATCGATTTTTTAAAAGAGCTAAGAGGGCTATATCAATTTAGGAGGATGCACAATGGACCTATTGAGGCATAAGTGCCGTAGGGCAACACTTAAGGAGTTGATTGGACTTCTTATAGCTTGTCCTATGGGGGCAATTTATAAGTTTCATTTATGATTGGTGGTATACCATTTTTACTAGACACTACATTTTTCATTCTTATCTCTCAATAATTTTGATCTAAAAGAATTTTTTGTTAATTAATTTAAACCATCTTCTACAAAAATTACCAAAACTAGTAAATTATTCCATATTAGATATTTTATTCGGTATTTACTATGTTCCATCTACAAAGTGTTTCAAAAATAATTAATTTCTTTTTTGTCTTCTAAAAATTTATGGGGAATTCTAGAAGTGTCTAAAAAATTCTACAAAATTACAGAAAATTCTAGAAAATCCTAGAAAATTCTAAAACATTCTAGAAATTTTTAGAAAATTCTAGAAAATTCTAGTAATCTAATTTTTTTGTTTAATTTAAGAAAAAGTAATAATTGAAAAGTTTATGCAATTTCTATCTTATTAAAAA